TGCTTCCTGGAAATGTTCCTAGTTGTAGCCTTCCAAGCCATTAATACATTTTTTAGCCATATTTCTCCTACTTTTTATCCCATTATTATCTTGTTCTAATTTTATTTATTTTTTCCAAATTCTATATATTTCCCATAACTAATATTTCTATCTGGTTCTTTTTTTATGTTTTCTTATTGTTCCATCTGGATAATTTCTAACGTTAGCTCTACATATATTCATCACATATTAACTTCTTCATCCATCTCTTCCAATAATCTTCTTCAGAAGGCATATGTTGTCCAGCATGCTGCCTTTTTATAAGGTGATTGTCTCTTCAACTGTCTAGATATTTAGGGGTTGGTGTCAAAGAAGGCCAAGTGGGGAACCAAAACTTTTGTTCCAATGAATGGGGTGAGGCCTCCAACCTCTATCCCTACTGTGTTATGGGAGATTATATGGTTGGGCTGGACAAGCACCCCACCTCGAGGTAACAAGTCACACTCCCTTTCCAACTGGAGTGGCATCAGCAAAGGCCTACTGGAGAGTCAGAACATTCGCCACTGCCCAGGAGTAATGACATATAACCCCTGCAGGTGTAAACCAAGGCCATGTAAGGAAGAGTAACAAGGTACTCCCTCCCCAGCTGGATTAGCATTGGCAGAGGCTAAGTGGGGAGCTGAAATTCTCACCTCCACATAGCAGTAAAGGGAAGCTCGCCTCCCACCCCAACCCCAGTGTCAATGAAAGCTCAGTGGGGATTCGAGACTTCCATCTCACCTAGCAGTATCAAAGCAGCTCCCTCTTTATCCTACCAGAGCAGTCTCAAACAAGGCCTGCTAAAACAGATGATTTAAATAAGATCTAGAGCTTTACAGATAATACACAAGACATCAGATTTCAATAAAAATCACATAACAAACATACCAAGAACAAGCAAAATCTCAGCTTAAATGAGAAAAGACAATGAACACATGGTAAGCATTGCGATGCCGTAGATGTTAGAATTGTCTAACAAGAATTTTAAAGCAGTGATCATAAAAATGCTTCAGTGAGCAATTGCAAACACACCTGAGACAAATGAAAAAAAAATCTTAGCAAAGAAATAGAAGATATAAAGAATAAAATAGAAATTTTAGAACTGAAAAATATAATCACCTAAGTGAAAAACTTGATGGGCTCAATAGCAGAATAGAGGGGACAGGGGAAAGAATTAGTGAACTTAAAGACAGACAGTAGAAATTACACAATCTGAAGAGAGGGAAGATAGAGTGGGGGCAAAAATGGAAGCGTCTCATGGCCCCGTGGGAATGTTAAAGATCTAACATTCATGTCACCGGCGTCTAGAGAAGTGGAAAAAGAGGGTGGGGTTGAAAAATAATGGCTAAAAATACTCCAAATTTGGCAAAAAGGCATAAGCCTACAGATTCAAGAAGCTGACTGAACCCTAACAAGATAAGCCCAAAGGAATTCATGCCAAGACACATCATAGTCAAGTCTGAGAATTAAAGAAAAAAAAATACTGAAAGCACAAAGAGGGAAACAACACCTTACCTATAAGGTGAAAAGACAATTTGAATGATAGCAGATTTCTCATCAGAAAGCAAGGAAGTGGCTTAATATTTCTGAAGGACTGAAAGACAAGAATGGCCAACTCAGAATTTTATATGCAGAGAAAATGTCCTTCACTAATAAGACATGGCCAGATGAAGGAAAATTAAAAACTTTTGTTGCCAGCTAAACTTCTTGAAAAGGACGGCTAAAGGAAGTTCTCTAAACAGAAAGGAAATGGTAAAATTAGGAGTCTTGGAACATCAGGAAGGAAGAAAGAGAAATGGAAAGAATAAAACTATGTAAATACAACAGATTTTCCTTCTTTTGAGTTTTGCAAATTATGTTTGAAGCAAAACTTTAGAACATTGTCTAACATGGTTCTCAACATATATACAATTGTATTAGAAGTGAGAGAAGGTAAAGGGACAAAAAGGGAGGATAGGCTTCTACACTTCACTCAAACTGGTAAAATGTGGATACAAGTAGATTGCAGTAACTTATGTGTATATGTAATGCAACATTTAGAGAAACCACTGAAAAAGCTATTCAATCAAGGAGGTACATTCAAAAATATTACAGATAAATCAAAACAATATTCTAAAAAAAAAAGTTCAAGTAAATCACCTGAAGGCAGGAAAAAGAAACACAAAAACAAAAAACAGAACAAATGAAAATAAAAACTAAAAATGGCTGACTTAAGTCCTAACATATCTACAATTACATTAAGTAAAAAGTCTTAAAAAAACACCAATTAAAAAACAAGAGATTGACATCAGATGTGACATGTGAATGTGAGATAAACTTCAGGGCAAAAAAATTTACCAGGTACAGAGAGACATTACATAATGATAAAAGGGTCAATCCACCAAAAAGAAACCTAAATGGCATGCACCAGATAACAGAACTGCAAAATACATGAAGCAAAAACTGGAAAAGGACACAGACAATTCCACAATATAGTTGGAAATTTCACCACTCTCTCAACAACCAACAGAACAACTTGACAGAAAATCAGCAAGAGTGTAAGAACTCAATAAAACCATCAACTGATAGAATTTTATCAACATTTATAAAAACCCACCCAACATAATACCTTTTCAAGCACCTACAGAAAATATACCAAGATAGAGCACCAGATCATGGACCGTATTACAAACCTCAACAAATTTTTAAAGACTGTAATAAGGTATCACAACACACCTATGAGAATGGCTAAAACAAAAAAACAGAGATAATATCAAATGCTGGAAACTGGATCTCTCCTACATTACTGGTGGGAATATAAAATGGTACAACTACTTAGGAAGACAGTTTGATGGTTTCTTTAAAAAATAAAAACTTACTACATGACCCAGTAGCCCCACTCCTGGGCATTTATTCTAGAGAAATGAAAACTTATGTTCATACGAAAACCTGCTTATAAATGCTCATAGCAGCTTCATTTGCAATAGGCCCAAATTGGAAACAATCAAGATGCCCCTCAACAGGTGAATGGTTACAGAAACTATGGTACATCCATTCCATGGAACATTCATATTCAGGAGTAAAAAGAAATGAACTACTGAAACACACACCATCTTGGATGGACACCAAGGGAATTATGCTGAGTAGAAAAAAACCCAATCTCAAAAGGTAACGTACTGCAGGATTCTATTTATACAATTCTGTGAGATGAAAGATTAGTGGTTGCTACAGGTTAGGAAGGGTGAGGGGAAGGGGATGGATATGACTATAAAGGAGTAGCAAGGGGGATATCTTCGTGGGGATGGAATTTGTTCTATATCTTGATTATGGTTACTGGGATAAAATGACATAGAGGGCTTCCCTGGTGGCACAGTGGTTGAGAGTCCACCTGCCGATGCAGGGGACACGGGTTCGTGCTCCGGTCCGGGAAGATCCCACATGCCGCTGAGCGGCTGGGCCCGTGAGCCATGGCCGCTAAGCCTGTGCGTCTGGAGCCTGTGCTCCGCAACGGGAGAAGCCACAACAGTGAGAGGCCCGCGTACCGCAAAAAAAAAAAAAAAAAAAAAAAAAAAACACATAGAACTAGACACACATACTGTACCGATGTTAATTTTTGGTTTTGATATTGTACTATACTTATGTGAGCTTTAAGTACTGGGGGAAACTGGATGAAGTGAACATGGGACCTCCCTATGCTATCACTGTAAGTTAAACACACACACACACACACACATCTAAATAGCCCAAGTCTGTTTGTTTGTTTTAAATCCCTTCTCTCTTAGAAAGGCAATAATACGGACCATACGACTTCATCCTCTGGATGTTATTATTAGACTGGGGTAAGAGAGGATAAGAAGTACCAACCTGTAAGTGGGACTGAGCCAATCAGGTTCACTGTGTTCAGAATTTGAATTGAAAGACAGAAACACAAAGGGATGAAAAAAATCCTGTGATAACAGGATCAAAACTGGTCCCTGGCCATTCCACGTCAGTTGACGTCATGCGGCAAGAAGCAGAAACTGTCAGGCTGCCTGTATGAGAAAATGTCAATTGAGAGAATATTCCCTTTTAGAACTAATATGGGTGGTGAATAGTTTCTGCTTCTTGCAACCATCAACCCTGACTAAAACATATACTGTAGAAAGGGAAGATTAAAAAGGTAACAACATTTCTTCTGCATTGTAATTTGCTATGGCCCTGTCCCTATACTGCTGAAGTTTAAGACAGCTATCATTGAAACAATCTGATCCTCATCTCTCACTTCATCTGACCCACCCAGGTCAGTGAGACCAGAGTTGAAAGTGAGGGAAAGATCAGGTCTCTATTAAGGATGGAAACAAGAAGAGCTCATGCATACCAGACTCTCCAACCAGTATATCAGAACTACAGTTTCCACCCATAGAGGGTTCCAATGCTTAATGTAGAGACCTGGAATTTAAGGATAAGAAGGAAGGTCCTCTTGGATACAAGTTTACAAATAATGTGGAGGTTGGAATTCGTTCATTCATTCATTCATCTCTAAGTCATTTATTTATTGGAGGACGTAGAGGTATAGGGATTTCAATCTCTCAAGAGGGACCCCACCTACTGACTCAGGCATAGCCAAGAGCCCACCAGGGCAGCAATAATCACTCTAGGCTTGGTGGGAGGTAAACTGAAAGGGGTCACATGAAGGCCAAGCCACCATCTCCTCACCTCCTGTGCTCATCTCCACTTCTGGTCTCCCATCTCAGAACCCCAGCACAGTGCACAGTAGACAAACAGACACTGGTATCAGGTTGCCTGGGTTCAGTCCTGCTTCTGCCACTTCCTGCTGTGTGACTTCTCTGTGCCTCAGTTTCCTCACCTTACAAGTGAATTACCTTAAAGGGAATTACAGTACCCACTTCATGGCTCCAGGCAACAGTAAGATGATCACTGGAATTACAATATCTTAACTTTTATTTTCTGTGCCACTCGATTGAGTGGTTACCAGAATAAACAGAAGAAGTCAACTAAAAACACATTGAAGCAATCCAAATTTGTTTTTATTTTTAATTGTTTTGGCTAATGGAAGAACAGAACCGTCACAGCAGCTCAGCTCTATAACCCATCCAGCCCAAGACTGTTCTAGTGGTAGAGCCAAGGACAGACAGGTCTTCCTCCATCAGTGACCTCTTCTCAAGACAAGGACATCTTCCATAGAGCATCAACATGTATCTGTCATCCGAGAAATCAACTAAAGCCCTCTTGATCCTTCTACACTTTCGGCCAGTAGTTATCACCTTCTGAGGTTATGGACTCCAGGTTTGCTACATGATAGGCAGAGGAAAGCTTCCTTTTACACTTCAAGGGCTGCAGAAGTATGGAATTGGGGAACACGACTGTATAGACTTCAACCACTTCCTCCTTTAGCCTGTCCCTCCAGGGTGCAGAAGAATCAATGTTCTTACAACTTCCCTTCTCCTTTTGGCATTCTTCAAGGTGTACACACAAGCCTCAGGAAATCATCCATGGGAAGCACACTAGGATTTACGCAAATGCAGGATGATGCGTTAGTTTCTCCTTTGGCCCCAGCACACACAGGGCCAGCATCTTTCAGGAGCAGCCGCTCCAGTGCTGTCTAGACTGCACTCTTAAGTCATGAATGGGTTGTTCAGGAACCTCTGTCCTGAATGATTCCTAAAACTTCACATAGTCTCAGTTTCACCGTCCTCAATTCCTATTGGTGTGTTACTATCTTACCTGTAAAGTTATTAAACCCCTGACACTGGATGTCTCTTTCAGATTTCGTATCTTCCTCCAACTTACTAAACGCCTCCTGAATTTCAGAAAGCAGCTACCTGCCAGCTAGTACAGGGACGCAGCCTAATTCTGTGTGAATCACTGCTGAGACCAGCTCTGCAGGAGGTTGGGGAGGAAGCGTATGGTGTATAATCTGCCCACTCCACTCCTATCATACACACTCCCCTGGCCCTGCCTGTACCACCCCAAATGGCCTTGTCTGAGACTCCTGCACACTGTGTACTCCTTCCTGGCTGCCACTCATACTGGAGGTGAGGCTCCTGGATTGAATGCAGGTGGCCTGGTTTGGATATACAATGCACAATACGGGTCAGGACCCTGGACCACAAGTCCAGCCACGGTACGCTGTGGGCCCTCCCTGCCTTCAGTACAGATACTGAAGAGTTATATCTGGGTTGCCTTATTCATCGCCTTGGCTGGAACATTCTAGAGTATGGAAGGGAAAGGAGCCTGCTCTGGAGGACAGGCTGTCAGCCAAATCTAAAATACTTTTTGCACACAAGTATTGTGAGGAGGTAAGGAGGTGCTCAGAGCTCCATCTTCAGTGATCACTTCTCCAGGGACCTCCACCTCCAGGGCTCAGGCTGGTACCAAGAGCCCTGCACAGCAGAGTCAATACCAATAATTTTCCCACTTCTAAGCAAGAGGACAAAAAGTTGCACAGAGCTGAAACAGAAACACTGAAGCACGGCCTTCGTCATCCTGATGCCTGAGCTTCATGGGACGGCCAGGATGTTAACTTAGCAGTTATCCCTGTTCCACTTCCAAGCACTGGAGACAGAAATTTCAGGGGCTGAGGTTTCTCTCCTCTGGCTTGGCAAATTCTTCTCATCTCCAGTTGAATCAACGGCTCCTTAGGTACCAGATGCTAAGCCTCAAGCCCAAATCGCTTTCACCACTGACGTGTCCTTCAAGCCACTTCATCTGCTGTTCCCTTCCTCTTCTTCAGCCTTTCTGGACCTGCAGGCTTTCTGGATACAAGAACTGCCCAAAGCATGATGGAAAAAAGAAAGAAGCCAGCTTTCACCTCCTGGCGACTGCTGGTCCCAACATCTACAGGTGACCAAAGGGACTGAAAGATGACAGCCCAGTTCTCTGTGCCCTATCGTGGGTTTGAAATGAGGAGTTCCCAGGTCTCAGCAGGTACTCAGTATCCAGTGTGGCTCGTAAGGAGGGAGCTGCACGGGGAGCACTCTCCCATGGCTGCTTGGTGAAGGCAACAGTGATGTGCAAAACAAGCCCTTCTGGCACTGAACCACCGGCCAGTGGGCCAGAATGATCCCGGTCCTCAGCACAGGGCTCTCAGTCCCAGACCACACGGACATCTCCTCCCAACTTGGCACGGGGCAGTACAGACTTCGAAGGGGAGCTCCTTTATTAAAATGCAGTGAGCAGTCCCACACTGCTACTTGGGTCAAGTTACAGCTAATGCTGGGGAAGAAGTGCCTCCAATCCATACACGGCCAGATCTGCTGAGGACCTGGAGATTCTGGGAACCAGACCTGCAGATGCTAAAGGACAAGGCCCCCCCCTGCTGGCGCCATATCACCTTGTCTAATGGTTACGTAAGACCCAGAGGCCCAGTCCTGAAGACAGTTGGCAGAGAGGCAAAAATGACTGTCCTAAAGAGGTCTTCAGACAAGTGTACAGCTCAGCAGGACAGCACACGTGCCAGGCCTCACCGTGCAGCAGCCGTCACCAACCTGGTAAAGGAGGACATATCGCATGGCATCTTCAGGGCGCTGGAGGCAGGCGCTGTGGCAGGAGAGGTAGGGAACAAGGGTCAAAAGTTTGCCAGGTTAACACATACAGACCCTCTGACCCAATATCCCACTCCTGAAAATTTATTCCGAAGAAATGATGCTCAACAGGGAAAAAGCTGGATGCACAAGGATATGTGTTCTAGCAGCCAAGTGATGAATAGAACATGGACTCTGGAGGTAGAAACCCACCTCTACTACTTTTTAGGGCAAGTGACTTACATTCTCTGAGCCTCCTTTCCCCCCTCTGTGAGACAAAGAAGACAGCACCTCCTCCCCAGGGTTGTTGTGAGATTAAATGAGACAAACTGCATAAAGCACCTACAGTCTGTGTTCAACCACAAACATTAGCTCTTATTATTACGTATAAGAACAAGAAAAGAATGCAGGAAAAAGGAAATAGGTGAATCATTAAGGGTGATAGAGCTGAAGCAAAGTTTTCCATGACTGTACTGACAATATCATTGTTTCAGGTCTTGTCCATTTTTTAAGTGCTGTGGAAGATGCCATGAATTGTTGAGCCCTGCAGCTTAGGAAGAAGGAAGCAAGGTAGAGAGAGTTGGCCTTTCTTCACAAAGGTTTTCCCCACCTCTCTAGAATTCACCTTTGGAAAACTCCTAAGAGGTCTCTGAGGATACAATAAAGTGGGGGAGATGGAAGACACAGGAGAGGAGGAATGAAGAAGGGTTTGACAATCAAAACTGGAAAGGATCCGCCTCCCATCTGCTCACCCTGCCCAAAGGTGGGCTGTGCACAGATGAGCACTCCATCCTGACCAGGAGGTCTCCAGAGTGAGCCCGCTCGCCTGGGGCTGCTGCAGGAGCAGCTAGAGGCTGCCTGCCAGCCTGGCCAGAGAGGAGAAAAACCTTGTGATCATAGTCAAGGATTCCATTCCCAGGACCCCGCTGCAGGGCACAACACAGTCTCTGTCTCTCCCCTTCCTCCTGCAGCTTCTCAGCTGTAGGGTGTTCATAATGGTCCAGTTCCATAAAGGAAACACATGGTAAATATTCATCACCGCCAGAGACAAAACACATAATTAAGTGCTTGCAAAGACCTTAGAGAAGTCTAGCCAGTGTTTACAACCTTTTTTCATTTTAAATTCATTTTCTCCATAAATATTACAGTATATAACCCCAAAATTTAAAAAAGGGTATTTTTCAAACTTACAACCATTATCACACATTAAAAAGGTTAACAATTCCTTAATATCAACAATTATCCAGTCAGTGTTCAAATTTCCAGGTGTCTTATAAACATCAAAAATGGGTGGTTTGTTTCTCAACCTTTAAAAATGCATATTCTCAGCACCTGAGGACATTCTGAGACAGCCCCTACTATCTCACCACCACATCAATCACTGACTTATGCCAACCTCCTCATTAGACTAGATGAGAAAATGCCCAGAGAAGTCAGGTGATTTGCCCAGGATCACACAGCTAGCTGAAGACAGAGGGTCTGTGCTTTCCCTGATATCACACTGTCTGGCAGTCTGAACACTGAGGTAACTGTTAGACGCTTTTGAGTCAGCAAGTCTTAATCTAGTAACACCTCCTTTGTCTAAAAGAAAATTATCACCACTAGAACCCTCCTACTAATTTTATACACCCATTTTACTGAGATAAAAACTGAGCTCTCAAGTTAATACCATCAGGTAGAAGTCAGATTTTGATCTTTATTCCGTACTTCAATTTAAGCCATAGAAAAGGATTCTCAATGACCTCTACTCTTCTCAACTCTAACTAGCTCCCCCGGGCCAGAGCAAGCTGAAGAGGACCACCTAAGAGAGGAGGAAGAAACCCATGATGGGGATCTGTGTTCTAGCTGTGCCTCAAATGTGGCACCAGCAAAGGATAAGACTGCCTGAAAACAGGCCCAAATGGCTTTATAGGTCATTTCCGTCAAACCATCAAGAAACTGTTAATTTCTGTGCTATATAAATGTTTTGGAATATGAGAAAAAAAATATTTCCCATTTCATTCTATAAGGATAGAATTATCTCTTTTCTACAACTGGACAAGGAAAGGATACACACAAAAAAGCAAGGGTGGAGAGGAAGAGGACTATAGGCTAATCTTACTAATAAACATAGAGGTCAAAATCCTAAGTAAAATAAAAGCAAATGAAGACCAGACATGCTTTTTCCTCTGAAGCACTTAGCTTCTTTCTTTTTTTGTTTTGTTCTCCTTTGATGGGGTTTTCTTTCCTATACATGCACAATAAATTTAGGTATGTGCAAAACAAACAGAATAGGACATACTGAACAAGTACTGAATCTGGAATTTAGACAGTTCGATATTAGGAAATCTTTGAAAGTAATTCATCATTTTAACTGATTAAAAGGAAATGTTTATACTCATTCAGCTCATTTGATTCCAAAAGGGCAATGAACAAACTTTAAAACCCATTATCAAGAGAAAGGAAGAGAATAAAGATTATCTTAGTAAACTAGAAACATAATTGATATACTTCCTTAACTTGATAACCTGCATTATCAAACAATAATAAGCTTGTGTGGAAACAGACAGGTCAAGGGTACAGAACAGGCCCTGTGTGTACAGTAATCTAGAATGTGAGAGCAGCTGATTTCAAATGAATAGAGGAAGGATGAATGGGCTCATCAATAAAGTTAGATCCTTACCTCACTCAGCATAAAAAAATAAATTCAAGGTGGACTGAACAACTAAAGGTAAGCAGATGAACAAAAGCAATATAAGAAAACATAAAAACAGAGTCTCAGTATGGGATGATGGGAAAGTTCTGGAGGTGCATGGTGGTGATGGTTGCACAACAATGTGAATACATTTAATGCCACTGAACCGTAAGCCTAGAAAAGGGTAAAATGGTAAATTGTACGTAAGTAAATTTTACCAGTTTTAAAAATAAAAATTTTTAAAAACACAGTAAGATTATATTCTTGCAATGGGAAGAGCTTTCTTAAGACCCAAAACTTTGGAGCCATAAGGGAAGAATTTGAAGATTTTACTACATAAAAATTTTTAATGCCTGTTTGATAAAAGATCTAGAAACAAAACTTAAAAGACAAGCACTTAATACTTCAACAGAGAGAAAAAAAATATAAGCAATTAACTGGAATAAAATATATGCAATTTGTATAATAAATAAAGGATTAACACCTGCATATATAAAACTGCTATTAATTAAGTAGATACAGGATATGTCAAGCAATTCATAAAAGAAGACACACAACCTCATAAGTAATCAAGAAAATACACGTTAAAACAATTTCATTTTTCACCTATCAAATTAATAAAATTAAAAATACTGACTTCCACAACTGACAAAGGCATAGGAAAACAGATACTCTCATCACTGTGGCTTGAATTACAAATGAGCAAACCTTTTGAAGGGCAATTAGTCAGCAGCTAGCCAGATGTTAGATGCACAGACCCTCCACTTTCTGGTCTCTAACCTGTAGAAATCTCCCAGAGGTACACAAAAATCATGAACAAGGGTATTCACTGTACCATTATTCACAATATCAAAAACGAAAATATAACCCAACCCTCTAACGGGAGCTGATGAAATACGTTTTTGTACATCCACCCAGTGAAATACTAGGCAGCTACTGACAAGCAATAGATAGGTCTCTATGTAATGAACAGGGAAACATGTCGCAACATGTTTGTAAAAAAAGGCTAGTTACCAAACAGCCATACTCTGTGATCCAATTTTTGTCAAAAAAAATAAAATAAAAAAGTACTTTGTACAGAAAGAAGAATCTAGAAGAATGCACATCAAGCTCCCAACAAGGGGATGTCACCTCTGGGAGTGGCATCATGGGAAATTTTCATTTTCTAAGTTATATTATTTCTGTAATGTTTGTGTTATTTAAAATAAGTGATTGCTTTCGTAATTAAAAAAATAGGGGATAAAGTAAATAAAAACAACTCTGCCTCTCTGCACAAAGGCAGGGAGGGTAGCTATGATCCCCATGATTGCCAGGGAACAACCTCTGTGCAGTATCTTCCCCTACAGAGGCGGCAGAAGAGCTCCTGAAACAGTTGGGAAGGGACAGGTGCCCAGCTCCCGGGCAGGGCTGGTGTGGTGGGAGTGAGGGGACAGAGCCAGGCCCTCAGTCAGGGCAGCCTGCACAGCAGCGGGCCCCGTGCAGGAGGCCTCAGCTGAAAAGTGGACACTGAAGGAAAGGACGTGCACTACTGGACTCAAACTATTTTTTTCTTTAACCTCTGATCTTTGGGTGGCTCTCAGATCACCATTTAAGATTAGAAACAGTTTACTTGAAAAGGTCATAATGGAAATTACATCAGCTAAGAGAAATCGATGGTGACTTACTTCCCGGGTAAGAGCTCTAAAAACCTAACTGTGCCCTGAAAAGACAGCAATGAATGCAAAGACCTGGAATGGCACAATGCTGGAAAGTTGTTGATCAAAGAAGGAGTATTAGCCAATTAGCCTCTACCCAAACTCTGAATGATGAAACCAAGAATGAGAGGAGAAAACGATGGAGAGGAGAAGAAAACAGAAACATGAAATAGGCACTGAACATATTTACATATTTAATCCTCACAAGAATCCAGGGAGCGTTACAGAAAAGGAGACTCACAGAGGTCCATGACTTGCTCAGTCACAAAGCTATAAACTGCAACCAACAAGGACCTACTGTATAGCACAGGGAACTACACACAATATTTTATAACAACCTACGAAGCAAAAGAATCCAAAAAAGAATATATATAACTGAATAACTGTGCTGTGCACCTGAAACTAACACAACATTGTAAATCAACTATACTTCAATTAAAAAACAAAAACAGGGCTTCCCTGGTGGCGCAGTGGTTGAGAGTCCGCCTGCCGATGCAGGGGACACGGGTTCGTACCCCGGTCCGGGAAGATCCCACATGCCGCAGAACGGCTGGGCCCTGTGAGCCATGGCCGCTGAGCCTGCGCGTCCGGAGCCTGTGCTCCGCAACAGGAGAGGCCACAACAGTGAGAGGCCCGAGCACCGCAAAAAAAACAACAAAAAACAAAAAACAACCCAACAACAAGAAAGCTACAAACTCTGAATGTGGATGTGCATCTGGTCTGCCTACAAGTCCAGCTCCTCAATTGGCCAGCCGGCCCCACTGGCCAATATTCTCAATATTGGAGGCTGTGTCCTCGGTCTTCCCAGGCAGACTCACCTGTGAGCTGGAGGGCAGCGCCTGGGAGGTGGGCTCTTCTGATTGGGCTGCTCCTGAGCCCATGGGGCTCAGTGTGGTGATTCGGCTGGGCTGGCCACGTAGTGTCAGAGTGATGGTGGTGGGGACCTTCAAGCCTGAGAGAGAGAGACAGAGAGAGGAGTAGGCTTTTTTGTCACAGCCTCCACTTCCCTTTCCTGGAGTTTCCTCCCCATGTAACATACCCCCATCAGCCTCCCGCCTCGGCTTCCTCCTCCCCAGCTGGGTCATCTATGCCCTATCAGTCAGTCTGAAAGGCAACAGGAACAGCCTGTGTTCTCTCAACCTCTCTGGGGGATGGACCCACACAGCTGAATCCCTGAGGGTCAAGGCCAGGACTCTGTGGGGTTGGGTTCAACATCATACCTTGACCATGAGAGATAGCAAGGTCTTGGGGGAAGATCCCTTATCTGGGAGTCCCCACGGTTCTCATGAGAGACTCACCTGAGGCTTGGTTAGAGATCTGAGCCAGGCCAGGGAGGCTGCTTGCCAACTTGGCGAGGCCCCCATTGGTCAGCAGCTGGTGGATGGCTGTGGGCTTCCCACCAGGAGTGGCACCCAAGGAGGAGAGAGTGGTGGCCACAGGAATGGTACGGACAATGGTGCTGGTGCCCGTGGTGACGGCACCCAGGCTCTGCATGGGGGTGGGCAACTTCACACTGGTGGCCTGTGGGACACACAAGCCCAGGTGATCAGAAGCTGTTGCCGACAGCAACGGTCGAGTGTGGAGGGCACATACTGTTAATGGCTACCATGTATTCAGTGCCTACCACATGCAAGGTACTCTGCCAGGTATTTTCCATACATCACCTTCTTTAATCCTCAAAACAGCTCTGTGTGGGAGGTACTATCATTACCCTCATTTTACAAACAAGAAAACAAAGATACAGAGATCAAGAAACTGGCCCAAGGTCACTTAGTAAGTGGTGGAGCCTTAACCTTTGGTAGTTCCCAGCCGTGAAGCCAGAAGGCTACTTGTCCTTGACCCAGCGTCCCTGCCAAAACCAACTAAGCTGAGGAGGCCTCCTCCCACACCTGCCCAGCCCAGTGGAAGGCAGATGTGCACCTGTGGGGCTGGCCCGGGAGAGGGGTTTGCTGGGAGGCCAGAGGTCTTGCTGCTGATATCCTGCAAGCTGAAGCTGAGGCCTTGGAGGAGGCTGCTGGCTGATGCGGCCCCTAGGAGAGGACACAGCAGACATCAGCACAGGCTCAGTCACTTTTCCACAAGCACCTGTGCCTGTCCACCCTCAATAATCAACTAAAACACCAACGCTCTTTCCCTCGGACATTCCCAGTGCTCTCAGAAAGATGCCAGAAGGGCTCCCCAAACACGCACGCTGGACGCCCACATGAGGAAAGGTACCGTTCCTGACACACTGCCTTGGATTCATTCTGCACACCCCAACCTGCTCCAAACCACCTGTCCTAAATTTTGGACAGTTTTAGGAAAACCAAGGAGAACATGAATCCCACTTTTCAGAAATCTATCCCACCTTCCCAGGGAAGAGGAAGGACTTTTTAAGCCCAAAGAATCCCGAACACCTGACTTACACTTCACTTTACACACAGTCCAGTGGCCTCAAAGCAAAGAGGAAGGTCCTCTTGAAGGATCAGGGCATCTGCAGTGCCTTGGCCCTGCTGGGCTCAGGCAACTAGCCTTTCAGTGTAGGGTGAGGGCGGAGAAAGTGAGGAGACATGCATAGGCAGAAAAATGTCTCATTTTGCTAAATTTCCAGTTTTATTCAACCAGATGTGTTTAAAAACACCAAAATGAAACCAGTACATACATTTCCCACCAGCTATTTCTCCTTGTAGTACAGGAGGCATTACCTGCAGGTTGGGACATTTACTCACTGCAGATATTAAGGCCCCAAACTCCCCTACCTCAAAGTTAATGCCAGCTCCATGCCAAGCCTCTACAACAAGCCTGAGACCCAGAGCATCCTCCTCCAGATCTAGCTCCACAAGGCTTTCCCAGGACCACCCTCCAGCAGCAGCCCAAACAGACTTCGCTGGGAGGCAGGGAACATTGAGCTACCAGATACCTGGGAGGGAGCTGCCAGGAGAGGTGGCCACCAGGCGGCTCTGGAGTGTGTGCAAGGCACTGGGAGCAGTGCTGCTAGAGACCACTGAGGACGCTGGGCTGGCTGAGACTCCCCCTTCAGCAGCACTTGACCTGGAGACAAAAGTAAGAGCTCCATTATCTAAAGGTCCCTGCCAACACAGGCAAGGAGAGACTTCAGGCCTTGAAGCAAGAGCTACAGAACTCTTCGTAAATTTTAAGTAAGCACTCAGTGGACCAGCGAAAAGGTGAAGAGAAAGAAGGGAACAGACAGACCGGGAGACGGACTCACTTGGTTGTGGTGAGAAGCCCTGTGAGCTCCTTGGCCCCTGTGGAAGCTTGCCCCAGTGTCATGGTGATGGGCTTCCCTCCTGCGGCTGCAAAACAGAAAACCCCAAGCCACTGGTCAGTCCTGTTTGGTCCTGACCTTTCAGGGTTCCAGAGGCCAGGCTAAATCCAAGATATTATGGAAAAGACTGGAAGATGAAAAATGAAGGATAACTACATTAGAATAGGAAGAGTTGGGATTATTTTTTCCTTCTACTTTCTAAACCTTCTGGAACATTTTATTATCTTTAATTGAAACCAAAGAAGAACAAAATGTATGATGCTTTGAATGACCCCACAGCTTCCTTGGATCCTCGCTCGGCCTCCCTGACCCTAGTTCAGATGAGGTTGCTACCCTCTTTCCCCCCACGTGCAACCTCTGCTGTCTTCTCCGGGCGCCTGTTGTGCTGAAGGCGAGGCTGAGCCGCCCAGCAAGTAGCCACCAAGAGGGCAATACTGTGTGCCTGGGACAGTTCTGTCAGTGTTTATTTAAAGAGGCCAGGAGAAACTCACCTTCTGGAGCTCCTCCTTGGGAAGGAGTACAAGGCCCTCCAGCTGTGTCCCCTTGGGAGATAAGGGACACCTTGATCTTCGGTCGCTTGGAGGTCTTACTGCCAGGAAGAGGACTGGAGGGATGGTGCCGCTTCAGCTGGACCCTGAGATCCTCTTTCTCGGCTTCCTCCGTTTGTTCTGATGAAACAGGAACTAAGAAATGGAGCTGCGGTGAAGTTCTCCACAATCCAAAAAAGCCCGACGGATACTGACAGCCAGTACCAGCACTGGCATGGCTGTGTGGGAACACCAGGAAGAACCATCCCAACACGTGCAAGGAGAATGCCAATGCTTCAGTCCTGCCTCACTCGGGCCCACCTACGGTGCAACTCCACCTTGGCCCTCTCAGAAGATGGCTCCATCCCCTTCCCTTACCCTGCCCTGGAGTTGGAAGCAAGGGGCTCTGAGTTGGTGGAAACAAAAAGAAAGGAGAAGACATCCTGACCCTGCCTGGCAAAGGCCAATCAAACAACAGAGGACTCACCACAGTGGACCTCAGCAGGGCTTCCCAGACTCAAAGAATGTGGCAATTCTCACGCCCTCCCCACATCACACAGCTGGAGGGCAGCACACAGTTTCTGGAGAAGCAATAGAGGAGCAGGCTATCCAGTCCTCCCTACAAGGGAGATATCCTCAAAGCTCTGAGTCCCACCCTGCCCTCAGAGCCCAAGGTTGAGGGTTTGCTTGCCAAATGGGGACAATGGGAAGGATCATCACCAGGACTTAAGGCTGGCTTTCAGTAACTCCTAGGCAGGTTATCTCAGCCAAGACCACTTTACAGGTCCTGCCCAGAGGTAATAGGGCAACAGTGGCCCATGTCACAAGCTAGTCCCCAGGTCATTTGTACTAGTACAGAGAAAGGCCACCTGTTCACACATGGGCTTCCCCCTCCACTGCATCAAACAGACTCATCCTGCACGTGGCCAAGCCTCCTAGACTCTTAAGTTATCCTTCGGGTTTCCTCATGGATCCCCTCCTCTTTAAACCTAGAAGCCTGCCCCGGTCCTTCTTCTTAGCGCAGGCAATCAGGGGCGGAAAGGCAGGAGTCACACGAGAAATGGGAGGCGTGGGGGCTGCCATGGGGCCACAGGGAGCTACTCCAGATCACAGTCAGGCCACAACCAGCTGAAAGGAAGGACTGCATCGACTAAAATCAGAATAAGAAGGAGGGAAAAAGGGAAAGGAGTTACAGGTTTATGCTTGATAAGTGCTTGCAGAGGCCAGGATGGAAGCAGGAAACCAGAGGCAGGGAGAAAAACACAGGGAAATTCAGGCTCACAGGCACTGGCCTATAGGCACACACAGGAGAAGCAGAGCCAAGAGCCACAATAAGAGATAAAAGGAGAAAAACACCGAGAGAGGTAAACAGAAAGAATGGGGAAAAAGCAAAGACTATGGAGTAATAAGCAAAAGGATCAGCAAAGAAAAAAAAACAGAAGATAGAAAAATGCAGAGACAAACAGAGACAAATGAGAGGCAGGGATGGGAAAGAAATGAGGGAGAAGCGGAGAGAGGCAGAGAGCAGAGAGTGAAAAGGTGAGGAAAGAGCAATACTCACCAAAGAGACAGGAGGAGGCGCCGGGAGGAAGAGCTTTCCTCACCAGCATGTTTTGTGTCAGAAAAGCAGCAAACTGCGCTGGAATGAATCAGAAAGAATTACAGAATCACAGCCAGCCAGAGAAAGGAGAAAAAGAGAAGGAGTAAGAAAAAGGTATGAAAATGTTCTGGAAAATGGCCAACAGGGGCTTTTTCTGGAATTACCGCAAGGGTTTGAAACCTGACTCTGCCATTTAGCAGCACCGTGGAATCATCCATAAACGGAAGGTAATAAACGCACCTGCCTCATGGGGCCGCTGCCCACATTCCACGAGCAACAGCAAGCCAAGTGCCAAGAAGAGGGCGAGGCACGCAGTGAGGGCCCATAACCACGAGCTGGTCTCACTGTCCCACCTACGAGCTCTGCCGAAACCAGGCTGCTGTGCTGCGGCTCTCCTCCGTGATGCTCTGGGTCCCATTTCGAACCTGGTGCACCAGTCAGCCTTCCAGAACTCTTTACAGTCTCCACTAATTATTGGCAAACTGCTGGCTCTCTCTTCATCAAAAGCCCAAGAAGACAACGCCCACTTGGAACCTGGCTCTGGCCACCACTGAAGAGGATGCAGGTCATGCGTGGACCTTAGGGGCCTGGCCACCTTTTCGTCTTCACCGACCCACTCACACTTCTGCTCCCTGTTAGCACCACTATACGGGCAACCTCGTAAGAGGCCTGGGTCTAAGTCCTGATCCTTTGGCTCCACTAAAAGAAACACAGGGGAAGAGAGCAGAGGAGCCTCCTGTCTCCTGCACGTCTCTCTACTTGACCGCCAGCTCTGGCTGCTGCCTCTGCCCAGGCACCTGAGACCCTCAGATGATACACGCTCCTGGATACATCACCAAACACCAATGCCCAAGAGACCTCGCCTCAGGGCTGCCCAACTGGATCAAAGTGGGCCAGGGGTAGAGCCACTGCTGCTCCCCTCCCCACCCACTGAACACGCCTTTTCCACAGCTTCTTACATTGTGCTGACTGTTCTCCAAACTCTAATTTCAACCAAACAAATGTTTCCCAGCCTAATCGAAAACCTATCTGCAGAGACTCCTGAAAAACTTCACTGGGAGTCCCAGTGTGGAATCTTAACTCTTCAAGGGCAAAACAAAGGGCGGGCACGACACCAGTGCAGTTGCCCTAGAATCTGATGAGCACGGCTAATCCCCTTGTCTGCGGGACCCGAAGAGCTCCCTGACTGCAGGAGAGGCTGGGCAGGGCCCGGAGTTGGTAAACAATTTGAGGCCGATATACGTGTAGTCAGCTCATAAAGCCTAACACCAAGCCGAAGCTGTAATTAGTGGAGCTGTACAGTCACACTAATGTCACCTTTTGTGACATTTTACCCTTGAAAACAGCCCTCAGTATTTATTTCAACCTAATTTTGCCTGGACAGAAATGTCGGGAAAAAGCCGCAGATGCCAATACTTTCCAACTGCCACATGGCGTCAACTGCAGAAGACAGAACTCAAGAGAGGCCACCGGGCCAGGCAGCTATACCTTGAGCCTGTTTGTGGGTCAGCACAGCCTCTGTCCGCTGCACGTGTCTCTTCAGCAGCTGAGTGCTTCCGATCTGACTGGACTTCTGGGCAGAGGCCACTGTGGTCACCTTGGTCTTGGGACTGGAGGTGGGGCTGCTGGACACACTGGAGAGATCCTGAGTAGATTAAGAAGGACAATGTCCAAGCCAATGTCGTCCAGATTGACTGTCAATCGTCAAGTCCCCCTGGAATTCCCTGGTCAGGAATTCCCCTCGTAGGAACTCACAGGCCCACCAAGGTCAACAGGCATCCCCAGGCAGCGAAGGAACCAACTCTTCAGTCCCCATTTCCCAGCAAAAGCACTCCCTCCCTTTCCGCGTTACCTCCGAGCCTGAGGGTGAGGCAGGTAGCTTGGCAGCTGGTGACGCAGGTCGACTGCCCCGCTCAGAGACCTCAAAGGCCAGGTCTCTGCGGGCCACGTCCCGGGGCTTCTTCTTCTTCTCAGCATCTTGATCCCGAGGCTCCGAGCCCACGTGCCCCTCCGCGCGAGTGAGCACTCCAGTCAGGAAGTCCACAATCTCATCCTAGTGTAAAGAGGGGCCGAGGCCTCTGAGTCCTTGTCTGGAGAATAGGAACCACCCCGACAGTCCCGACTAAAATCGATTCACCTCAGCTTCGATGTCAGCGTGCCGGTCCCTCCTACCACACAAAGCCTGGCTCAAACCCCAGCCTCAGCCAAGGACCAGCAGAAGCCTGCGCCCTGCACCCGTGAGGCAGTGCTCCGGGGTGGTCATGATTCACCACTCCCCCAATGAACCCTTCCTCCCCTAATGCTCGCTCATGTCTTAGATCATTACTCTCCTTTCCCCCCTCTCTCTTTCCCCCTTTCCTTTGCTGATGATTTAGGCCCAACAGAGGCCACAGTGGATACCCATCCTCCTTAGTCAATAGGCTGCTGCCAACAAGACCGAGCCTAAAAGGTTACAGAAAGGCAAACCTAGCTGAGAAAACCACATGAAGCTACTGTGTACCTGAATACATCTGTCCACCATGCTCTGAGTCAACCCTTCCAATTTCTTCTTTGCTTTGCTTATTCTAAGAGACAAAAAAGAGGAAATGTTTACTTTCCAAACATTCCACAGCACCATTTCTCTTCTGTGTTGGTTATTCTCTAGACCCATGAAGGAAGACTATGTTAGCCCTCAGGCAGGTCTGCAGCCTCTCTGAACCTCAGTTTCCACATCTGCAAAATGGGGAACCATAACACCTCACTCATGGAGTTAACAGGGATGACACAAAACAACATTTATAAAGAAACAAAGAGTACATGGAAAGTACCCGGGATGGTATACTTCAGAAGTCCTATACCTATGGCTTCACAGGTATACTCTATCTGATTGCTAAGACCTCATCTCGAGGCACCCCAACACAGACCCAAACCCTGAGACTACTGGGTGCTATTGAAAAGATTACTGGGTGCTATTGAAATGAAATTAGCAGGAGGGAAGGCAAGGTGGCCACAGGTTAGTTCTAAAGGGATGACAGAAACTGACCACAGCTGCTGCATTCTCCTCTTTGAAAGCCAGCCTTAAACACCCTGGCTTCTGACTGGTGGTCTCAGCAGAGAGAGAAACAGGGCACCAAGTGACAGGATGAAGAACTACATTCTGAGCCTCCAAATTCTGAGACCCCAATTTACTGGTTGTAGGTCTCTGACCTTGTGTAACAATGCTCATTTTATGGATGAGGACAGAGTCCCAGAAGTTAAGTATTTTATCCAAGCTTCTTAGCAAGGGAGCCAAGACTAAATTGGGTCTCCCAGTTCTCAGTCCAATGCTCTTGGCACCATGCAAATATGTCTCATAAGCAGCCTCACAACCTAACTCTCACTAAGGGTTATTTCCATTTCTCCCGCTCCCTCACCACGACTCAACACACAGTCTATTCTCCTATAGATAAGAATGTCTGAATTAGCAAGAAAGATAATGTATTTACAAGCAAACATTGCCTTGAGCATCAAAGGGTTAGATTCTAGGTCCACAAGAAGCTGTCAAATGACAAAGGCCAGGAGGACTTCGCCAAAGCATCTCTGGGTAAGAAACTGACAAGAGAGGAGGGAATAGGTACTCGCTTTAAGCTCTCCAGTTAAAGCATACAAATGAAGTTAATATCTAAGACTGAGCATATAAAAAAGGAGACCAGTAAAGGATACAACCTCTTTTTCAGTACATTTCATAAAAACATAACTAAAGGCCCTACAGGCAACCAGCCTTGTAAGAGAAGAATGGCCATCTCGATGACTAAAGATGCCCTCCTAAATCCTCTCCAGGGCTTCCCTGGTGGCACAGTGGTTAAGAATCCACCTGCCAATGCAGGGGACATGGGTTTGAGCCCTGGTCCGGGAAGATTTCACATGCTGCGGAACAACTAAGCCCGTGCGCCACAACTACTGAGCCTGCATTCTAGAGCCCGTGAGCCACAACTACTGAGCCCGCGTGCCTAGAGCCCGTGCTCTGCAACCAGAGAAGCCACCAGAATGAGAAGCCCGCGCACCTCAACGAAGAGTAGCCCCTGCTCGCCACAACTAGAGAAAACCCGCGTGCAGCAACAAAGACCCAACGCAGACAAAAATAAAATAAATTAAAAAATAAATAAATTTAAAATCCTCTCCAAACTTTGGCTGTTTATACTCCAAAATATATAAAAGGATGCTTAACACAAATAAAATCTATGTTCACATTCCTCCTCAGTAAGGAGCAAACGGTGAAGAAACGCTACCCAAGTGAAAGCACAACGGCCAAGGCTATAATTGCAACATCGTAGAAGCATTTCCCCACGAGACGACTGCTGACTACAAAGAGGAAACAGGGACTCTACAGTAGAGAAACCTGGCAGATGCTTCCTTGATCAAAGTTAACATCACCAGTAACAAGACACATCAACACCATGTAGCCCCCGAGGGGTGCACTGAGGGCACATCAGCTCCACAGCATTCCTGCCAAAAATGTGCACCCTCAACCTAATCATAAGATAACGTCAAACACCTAAATTGAGGGACCGTCTACAAAATAGAAGTCTTCAAAAGTGTCGAGGTTGGGCTTCCCTGGTGGCGCAGTGGTTGAGAGTCCGCCTGTCAATGCAGGGGACGCGGGTTCGTGCCCCGGTCCGGAAAGATCCCACATGCTGTGGAGCGGCTGGGCCCGTGAGCCACAACTACTGAGCCTGCGCGTCTGGAGCTTGTGCTCCGCAACAAGAGAGGCCCGCGGCAGTGAGAGGCCCGTGGCAGTGAGAGGCCCGCGCACCGCGATGAAGAGTGGCCCCCGCTCGCCGCAACTAGAGAAAGCCCTCGCACAGAAAAGAAGACCCAGCACAGCCAAAAACAAATAAATAAATGAAATTTTTAAAAAAAAGTGTCGAGGTCATGAAAGACAAAGACAGACTAAGGAACAGTACCAAATGAAAGGAGACTGAGGAGACAGGCAACCAACAGCAATGTGTGATCTGGATTTGAGCCTGGACCAGAAAAGAACGTTAGTGAGATAACTGATGAAATGTGAGTCTGTAGATTAGATAACAGTATCATATCCGTGTTAATTTCCTGACTTCGATAATTACACTTTGGTTATATAAGATGTTAACATTTGGGAAATCTGGGTGAACAGTATAGGGAATTTCTTGGTACTAATTTTGCAACTTTTTAGAAATCTGAATTAGTTTAAAAAAATTTTTTTAAGTTTTTTAATGCCCTCTTTTCACTGAACCAGGTTAGCTATAATTACATCACCGCCTGATAAGCATCTCTCCAACATGGCACTCTTGCAGCTCTGGGGGAACCTACCCACCTGAGATTATCATCAGCTCCCCCAACCACCACCAAGCTGTTCTCAGCCCGAATCTTCTCCCGGAAGTCTTCCATGGCTTCAGGGTGACACTGCAGGGAATTCTGACCAATGACAAAGAGGACTGGAGTCTTCATATCCAAGAGGGGATCATCCACATCCTAAAACAGATCCAGGTTTACAGTCAGCCAGTGCATATTCACTGAGTACTGCCCTGGCAAGTATGCTCAAGAGAGTCAGCTGGGCAACTGCAGTCACTGAAGAGCAGCTTGAGCGAGGCATGCACTCCCGTACGCTCACCTGCCAGTGACCCAGAAATCAGCCACACCCTGCGCTTACCCCTCTGGGGCCATCCACGGTAAGCAGAGGAAACCCAAGGCAGACAACTGCAGTGACGTATTCCATCACCGACACCTGGAAATAATGGCACGGTTTGTCTCAAGGTCAAATGACTTCACTGCAGCTACATCCTACCCAGAATCCTGGGGTGGTCCAGACCCACCAGCCAGTCCCACCTCCTCCCCCACTGTCATGACATAACCCCTAGGTGTACATAACTAGGTTAGGACATAATCCCTAGGTGCACCAGCCATAGTTGCAGCAGTAAGAGCAAAGAACACAAGATGTGCTGTTCTACCAGAAGCCACCACCTAGAGAATTGGGGCCCTCAGCGGACCCCAGAAGAGGGCTGAACCATAGGATGGGAAGTTTAATACTTGCATCCTGGCAATTTGCGAGGCTAGAATCCTCCCTTTTCCCTCCACTAATAACAAATGCAATCAGGAGAACATAAATGTTGCTCTTTTCCCTTAAGTGAAGAAAATCTCTCCCTTTTGAACTTGATAGCTCCCAGACACCCCAAATTTCTTAGAGCAGTCGCTGACAGGGTACTGCCATCCTTGGGACCAGGGAGTACCGGGAGATAGCCTTCTTCCTCTCACGCCCCTAGATGTCACCTACATGAAGCAGCACAGACTTTGCTTACTTGATCCACTTGAGAATTGGGGCTTTGGACAGGTCGGAGGCACTTATACAAACTAATATACATGCAAGTGTATGTAAAGTAAGAAAAGGTTCTCTGATGACTTGGAAAGGGAAAGAACAGGAACACAACATCAAATTACAGAGCTATTAAAATTTTTGCTGGCCACAATTATTGTTTTGTTTTGTTTTGTTTTGTTTAGGTGGGAGAATGGTACTTATGTCTAGGGGAAGAAAAAAAAAAATTTTTCAGCGATACATGCTGAAATACATATATATATAAACACAGTGATATGATATTTGAGATTTTCTTCAAAATAATTGGAGGAGACTGAAAGTAGGCAGAGGTAAGATGAAAAAAGCTTGGCCATGAGCTGATCACTGGCAAAGCTGGGTGAGGGGCCCAAGGGGTTTATTATGCTAGCGTATCCTCCCTTTGAACTTCTGCTTTTTTCACAATAAAGTTAAAAAGTAAGGTTTGTAGGCAAAGCATCTAGCACAGTGCTCTGGAACACTGCAAAGCGCTCAACAGTCACTATCATCGCGCTGGGCAGCAGCAGTAGTAGCAGCAGCAGTCTATCTCAGGACAACCTCCAAATAAGATGGGGATTACTTACGTGACAGGCCACCAAGGCTCCTGTATTCCAGCCAATCAAGATAATGGGTTTGTGCGGGAAATGGCTGTGAATCTTTGTGGGAAAAGAAGACAGTAAGACTGGAGGCCACAGATTGGTGCAGAATGTTGGGTGTGCCACAGTGAACTGAAATAGGGACGTTCTCACCTCTAGCACTTTGCTTCGCACTGCCCCAATCATGTGCTCCAGACACTGCAGAACTCCTACTCCACTACCATTGTTCAGCAGATGCGTGGCAACAGGGATGACCTAAAGGAACGAGTAGCAGCCATGAGAGCAGAGCTAAGTTTCAAATCTCCTCTCAAGTCTGCTTAACCTACCTAAATCCCTTCAACCTCGGATAAGCACCATTGGCATTCTAGACAAAAAGAAACTTGGGGGACGCTCCACGTTTAAGTTGACCCATTTTGAGCCCCTCTTCCTTTCTGTCTGCTCGATCCTCCCCAGGAGGAGTTCCTCCTGCCCAGTACGTACCTTGCCTAAGCAGGACAGCTGAGACTGCCAGAAGCGGTGGCGGCGCGAGGTGGGGAACACGGAGCTGGAGGGCCCGGAGGAGGCAATGAGAATGAGAGGAGAGCCGGGGAGTTTGCTCTAAGGAGAAAGACCCCACCAGAGAGCCAGTGAGTGAGAGGTGCTCCTCCATGGAACCCCAATACCTTTCTTATCCCAACCAATGCTAATTTCCTCAGGAAACTACGTTAAGCACTACACCCAGCCAGTTATTAATGAAAGCAGTTAAACAAGCCATTATCCTCTTGCCAAAGTTCTAAGACTGGATTCTAAAAACAATTTCATGGGCCACAGTTAAGTCCAACTTACTGGTTTGTTATGAGAGAGCACTCCCACAGCGGGGTCCCAGGGCCTCTTCAGTAGGAGGGACAAGGCCTCAGCTCCAGCAGCCCCGGTCTTCGTGTTGGACGACACGAGCATCCGGTCAATCAAGGTAGGGATCTAGAAGCAAGGGAGAGGAAAGATGCTTCCAGCATGAAGTAGGAGACCCCACCACCAGGATCAGGTGGGAGGACACAGCCCCACTATGAGCTGAGGAGATTTCAACTACACCTCTCAAACTTTCCTCACGAGAGAAAGTACAAATCAGTGCATGGCTGAAAAATATGCCTCCCATCACATTAAAGATAAGTGGATACAGTCCTCTGGAAACCAATCTGGTGACACGCACCAAGAGACTTAAACTTATTCTTATCTCTTTCTTAACAACCTGTATCAGAAATACATACACACACACACACACACACACACACGGGGGCTGGGGGGTAAGCAAAAGACAAATTCACTCTCAATAATAGTCAAAAAGTGGACACAACATTAAGGCATATACAAGGAAGTGGTTAAGCAAATTATCTACATAATTAGATATTATGGATTAATTTTAAATATTTAAAACAATTTGTAATAACATAGGGAAATAATTTGCTAAAACATTAAAGGTAAAACAGAATATATAAAAATTATCTCTACTCAGAAAAAATACTACAAGAAAATATGCCAAAAGGTTAATAATGAACTTTATGGAGTTATGAATTTTTTTCCTTTTCAGACATCTGTGTTTTCTGAATATCCTCAGTGAACACCAGTTGATTTTATAAATTAAAAACAAAACTCTGCACTTACTTCTAGAATACTGCCTTCAAACTGTGGTGTGTTAAAAAAATATGTTATTGTGCCCCAAATAATATATCCTACTATACTGTGTATACAGCTGATCCTTGAACAACACGGGGTTGGATGCCAACCCCCCATTCAGTCGAAAAGCTGTGTATAACTTTACAGTTGGCCCTACGTATCAGTGGTTCCACATTACACCATTATGATTTACCAAAAATGTGACCTCACAGATGTGTAAATATAGGTTTCAGACATGCTGATGCTTACACTGAGAAGAATTATCTGTGTGAATCCCATACTACCCACAAGAGGTCAAAATGACCTAGGGGAAAGGAAAGATTTTTAACTGCTAGAGGTAGTTTTCAGAAAAATAAACTTTTTGAGAAACTGGAGAATAAAAACTACTACAGTGATGCAGGCTGTAAAAGTTCAGTCCATAGCTAACATCGTACTCAACAGTGAAAACCTGAAAGCTTTTCCTCTAAGATCAGGAACAAGACAAGGATGCCCACTCACACCACTTTTATTCAGCATAGTATTGGAAGTCCAAGCTAGAACGATTAGGCAAGGAAAGGAAAGGCATCCTTTCCGTTAGATTTAGAAAGAAGTAAAACTCACTATTTGTGGATGACATCATATTATATAGAGCAAACCCTAGACTCCACCAAAAACAACCATTAGAATAAACGAATTCAGTGAAGTTGCAGGATACAAAATCAATATACAAAAATCTGCTGCATTTCTGTACACTAATAGAGAAAGTAAGAAAACTTTCTCGTTTACAACAGCATCAAAAAGAATAAAATACCTAGGATTAAATTTAACCAAGGAGGTGAAAGACCTGTACACTGAAATCTATAAGACATTAATGAAAGAAACTAAGACACAAATAAATGGAAAGATATTCTGTGCTCACAGACTGGAAAAAGTAATATTGTTAAAATGTCCATACCACCCAAAGCAATCTACTGTACAAATTCAATGCAATCCCTATCAAAATTCCAGTGGCATTTTTCACAGAAATAGAACAAACAATCCTAAAATTTGTATGGAACCACAAAAGACCCTGAATAGCCAAAGCAATCTTGAGAACAAAGAACAAGGCTGGAGGCATCATGCTTCTTGATTTCAAACTATTTTACAAAGTTATAGTAATCAAAACAGCATGGCATCGGCATAAAGACAGAATCACAGATGAATGGAACAGAATAGAGAGCCTAGAAATAAACGCATGCATATATGGTCAATTAATTTACAACAAAGGAGCCAAGAACTTACAGTGGGGAAAGGACAGTCTCTTCAATAAATGGTGTTGGGAAAACTGAACAGCTACATGCAAAAGAATGAAACTGGACCACTGTATTACATCATACACAAAAATTAACTCAGAAAGGATTAAAGACTTGAATGAAGATCTGAAACCATAAAACTCCTAGAAGAAAACATAGGCAGTAAGCTCTTTGACATTAGTCTTGGCAATGATTTTTTGGATCTGACACCAAAAGTAAAGGCAGCAAAAGCAAAAATAAACAAGTGGGACTACAAACTAAAAAGCTTCTGCATAGCAAAGGAAAACATCAACAAAATGAAAAAGCAACCTATTGAATGGGAGAAAATATTTGCAAATCATGTAGCTGATAAGGGGTTAATATTCAAAACATATGAAGAACTCATGCAACTCAACATCAACAAAATAAAAAATCTGGTTAAAAAATGGGGAGATCTGAATAGACATTTTTCCAAAGAAGATATACAGATGACCAACAGGTACACGAAAAGATGCTCAACATTATTAATCATAAGGAAAATACAAATCAAAATCAAAATGAGATATCATCTCACACCTGTTAGAATGGCTATTATCAAAAAGACAAGCATTAACAAATTTTGGCAAGGATGTGGAGAAAAGGGAACCCCTGTGCACGTTGGTGAGAATGTAAATTGGTGCAGCTACTACGAAAATCAGTAAGGATGTTCCTCAAAAAATTAAAAACAGAACTATCATATGATCCAGCAATTCCACTTCCGTGTATTTATCTGAAGAAAACAACAATAACTCAAAAAGATATATACACCCCCATGTTCACTGCAGCATTAAGTACAATAGGCAAGATATGGAAACAACCTAAGTGTCCACTGATGGATGATGGATAAAGAAAATGTGGCATATGTATATATGCCACGTTTTCTACACACACACACACACACACACGAATATTATTCAGCCATAAAAAAGAAGGAAATCTTGCCATTTGCGAAAACATGGATGGACCCTGAGGGCACTGTGCTAAGTGAAGTTAAGTCAGACAGGGAAACATAAATACCGTATGATCTCACTTGTATGTGGAATCTAAAGAAAAACAAACAAAACAAAAAACCAAACTCATAGATACAAAGAACAGACTGGTGGTTGCCAGAGGGAGGGGGTGGAGGATAGTGAAATGGGTAAAAGGGATCAAAAAGTACAAAATAAATTAAGCCATGGAATGTAACGTACAGCATGGTGACTACAGTTAATAACACTGTATTCCAGATTTGAAAGTTGCTAAGAGAGTAGATCTTAAAAATTCTCATCATAAGAAAAAAAAAATGTTTGTAACTATGTGTGGTGACATGTTAACTAGACTTATTGTGGTGATCATCTAGCAATACATACAAATATCAAGTCATTATACTGTATACTTGAAACTAATATAATGCTATATGTCAATTATACTTCAATTAAAATAAAAAATGCAAAGATAGGACAAGAAAATAAGCTGTTCCAGGCAATGATAAGCAAGGACAGTGATCCTAATTTTGAAAGAGCAAGACTAAAAGGGTTTCTGTACAAGAAATGAGGGGAGGGACTTCCCTGGTGGCGCAGTGCTTAAGAATCCGCCTGCCAATGCAGGGGACTCGGGATCGAGCCCTGGTCCGGGAAGATCCCATATACCGCGGAGCAACTAGGCCCGTGCACCACAACTACTGAAGCCCACACGCCTAGAGCCCGTGCTCCGCAACAAGAGAAGCCACTGCAATGAGAAGCCCGCGCACCGCAACGAAGAGTAGCTCCTGCTCGCTGCAACTAGAGAAAGCCTGCGCGCAGCAATGAAGACCCAGTGCAGCCAAAAATAAATAAATAAATAAATTTTATAAAACAAAAGAAATGAGGGGAATATAACCATGCGACTTTCTCAGTTTAATTCAGGAAACAAATGTTTACGCAACGCAACACTGCTGTTACAAGACACCAGCCTAGTGCTTACTGCGAAGGAATTTAATCTACAAGGGTTAATGAAGACAAGCACACAAACAACAAAAGAGGAGGGGCTGATAAGTGCCATAGAAAAATAAGCCTCACACTATGATTCAAACCATCTAACAGAGAAGACGGAAGCAAGCAGGCAATTTTCATCTGAAGATGCAGCATGTGAAGTGAGATGCACTCTGAAGAATTCTAACAGAAGACGGGGGAAAGTCTTCTAATCAGAGACACCAGATATAAGCAAGAAAGAACAGGGCTTATTCTGGGCACAGATAGCCTGAAGTCGAGAATTTGGGCAAGGAAGTAGGAGGACGAGGACGTAAGGCTAGTAACAAAGGCTAGGGCCCAACTGCAAAGGATCTTCACCCTAAACTGGCCATTTCTTGAAACTTACTTTGTCACTGTGAGCCACTCAACACCTTGAGGTAGAGGATCTGACTGAATTAGACTTTAAAAGCTTTTATCTGGCAGTAATAAGAGTACACCTCTCAAATGACAAAGCCTTGAAACTCACTTTCTGTAAATAAGAATACTTAGAAATAATTAATCAGTAACCAACTTCTCTGCTTGGAGCCAGGCAGACCAAGCATCCCTGGTCTCTCCAGCACTGCATCTCTCTCAGCAGACAATGAAGAGGCTAGGGTCTATACCTTCTCTGCTCCCCTTACAATAGGTCTGGTGGTGAAAGTAGCTGGGCCAAGAGCACGATCCCATCCACCTGCATTTTCATCCAGCAGGAACATTAGAAGTTGTGGGAAACAACCTAAGTATTTGCTGTGAATCTGAGAGTCGTGGGAACATAAGAGCCTGAAGGGAGACGAACCACTGAGAGCAGAGCCTCAAGCGGACAGCGGCTCACAGTCTGGGACCCTGCTGACTGTGTGTCCTCTGCCATTCCAGCTAACCTACACCATGACATAGAAGCAGGGCCGGGCAGCATGCACTGTGCACACCTGTGGAGTCCCGCCAGTGGTCCATCATGCTCAATAAACCTGAACACCACTTACACCACTTCATTCACATGGGAACATCCAGACAGTGACTTCAGTGGGGGAGCAGGGCAAACTTCTTTATGAGGGAAATGACCTCCAAGGCATACTGGCCATGCAATGTAAGGCAGAGAAGTGGGCTCTGGGCACTAATACTCATCCCTTAGGGGATATTCACCAATGCCGTACTCTTCCCATAGGCAGAATGCTGTGGAGAACATTTAAAATGCCTGAAATACTCACAAGCCACTGTTCTCAGCCAGGGGCCTGTCGTGGCTCCACACCCACCCTGTGCCCATGCCTGCCCCCTATTCACCTCCTGGGCCAGGGTCTCCACTGCAGAGGGGCAGCACAGGGGGAATTCTGGGACTATCTTTTCTTTTGTCTCTTTCTCCAGTAGAAAATAAGCTCCATCAGAGTAGACAGCATTTCTGTCTTGCTCATCCCAGCGCCTGGCACATTATAGGCACAAAATGGTTGAATGTATAAATTAATGTCAAATTTCCTACCATGCATTTCATTAACGCATTTGGTCCTGAGTTTTGTTTTATTTCCACACTAAGCCAGTCTTCTTTTGCTTTCAAACAAACTCAGCAACCTTCAAGTAACAAACAGGCAGGAAACAATAAGTCTGGAAATTGGGGGAATATGGCTGGGGAAAGCTGTTGGCCAGGTAAATTATAGCAACAAAGCAGGCCAGCTTCCTGCAAAGGAGAAGAAAACCACTTAAAAAAAAAGGTCAAGAACTGAAGTAATCCAAGTTGCCTGAGGCCATTCTGTATTGCAGCAAAACACTAAAAATGATGGTACCGCTTATAAATCATTAACAGTTACTGTGGGTTTCCTATGTGCCAAACTTTGTGGCAAGCATTCTATCTCGATTAATGAATTTTCACAAAAATCCTAGATAGGTATTAGTATCAGCCATTTTTTTAGAGATGAGGAAATTGAGACACTAATCCAAGATTACACAGCTAATTAGTAATCAAGATGAGATCAGCCAGGCAGTCTGCCCCCAGAACCTGTACTCCAATCACACCGAACACAGCCCAGCGCAGTAACTGCAACCAAAATAAAGTGCAATCATGAAGAAAAACAGTGTAACTTTGTGCAATACCGTCTAAGTAAGAAAGCAGGGAAAGTTAACGATACGCTTTATAAAGAGTGATTGAAGTGCAAGTGTTGCTACCGAAGGCTCATCATGATGAGGAGAGACCGAGGCATCACATCACGGCGCTCCCTGCTCCGGAACACCTCCCCACGCGCACCCCCACACTCTCAGCACCACGGGTCTGCTTCCTGCCCCCCTCTCAACACCCCTCCCTGGTAAACCCCTCATCTTCTCCTTTCTCACCTCACCTCAGACCACAGGCTGCAGGGCTGCAGAGGCTAAACATGTTCTCTGGTTTTCAGGAGGGCTAGAGACATTTACGCCTGGTGAAAACACGAAATGATACCATGTCTCTTATTTTTGATAACAAACCTGTTAGCTTCAGTCATGCCCTCCAGGCTGACCAGGCAATGACCTCGCCCAACCCCACTTCCTGAACCCACAGCGGAGGCTGGCTACCCCAGGACAGGGAGGACGGCAAGCACGCCTCACCTTCCCTTTCAGTGTCTGCAAAGCATCCAGGTAGGCGGCCAGCATGGGCAGACTCAAGGTCTCCACCAGGGTGGTGTGCAGCCACTGGACCAGCTTGGTGTCCCAGCTCACACTCGCCAGAGCTTGCCGCACTCTCCTCGCACACTTGTCCACGGCAACACGGCGCAGCACTGGCTCGTTACAAGCCTGAGAGGTGTAAGTGGGGGGACAAAGTATGAGGGCCACCTCGTTAGCAACGTGGGGGTGGGGGGAGCGGGGTGAGGTCAGCTAGCCCGTGAGGCCCGAACTATGGGGAGCCCACGGTGGGCAGGCTTCTAGAGTCTTACCCCTTCGTTGGCCAAGCGGGCAAGCCGATCAGACTGCAGGGCTTTGAGGATCTTGTTGAATAGCTTGTTCTGGGCCATTGTCCAGCCAGTCCTATAAGAGAAACTCTGAGGAATTAAAGTCAAACCCTGGGGATGCTCGCCATGCACGTACACTGTACAAAGAAGATTATGTCATGTTTTTTGTTCCCACTATGAAACAGTATAACTCAAAGTAGCTTAGAACGAAGCTAAAGCACAACACCCAGATTCTGGCCAATGAACCACCTCAACATATACTTGTATTAACGTACACACTACAAGTCAAAACCAGTCACAAACAGAGTCTTTTTGGTGCGAGCAAAGGTAATTAATTACCTAGTGGCTAATATAATCCATCAGTAAACAGAAGCATGGCGCCATTGCACAGACATATTTGAATTTCACAAGTTTAATATTTCACACAAAAAGGCAGACAGGATGAGAAAGCATTTTAATGTACTAAAACCTCAGACTAAGATAAGAGGCCTATTTAATCAGCTTTAGGAACGAAAATATAACAAACGAAGTGGCTCTTCTCCCACTCCTTAAGAATCTACCCCTCACTAATCTTTCTCCCTTTTCCATTTTTTCCCCTGTATATCACACAATTAACAAATTTACTTTTGAATGGTCTGTTCCATATAAGTTAACTCTGTATCATCCCTGCGTATGACCCTGGAAGACACACTTTTACCTTGCTTATGGAAGGCTTTATGGTTCCTCCCCCAGCTCAGCTGTAAACTCCCTGCAGTTAGAAACCTGGCCTACTGCTCCTGTCCCCACCTAATGACACGCAGCACAGCAGTGTGGAGCTGACTAAAGCCCCCCTCCACCCCACTCCTGGCAATCTTAATTACTCTGATACTCCAACTCTGGCCAGTAATCTTCCTAAAGATACTAAGAGAAAGGTAACAGAAGATACCCAATTGTTTACCAACTCTCCCTGCCATAAAAATAAACTGGTGCTTAAATCTCCTTTAAACAATTTTAGGTGGATGCCAGACCCAAAGGAGAACCTGGAACGAGATCAAGGTAGCGCTCCAAATCAGCAGGGAAAAAGTAAACAGGGCTGTGACAACTACCAGCCACCTGGAAAAAGAAAATCTGGATTCCTACACATCACTCTTTACACCAAAATAAATTGCAAGTGGAATAAAAAGTTAAATAAAAATAAAATGACCAAAGTACTAGGAAAAAACAGTAATTTAAAAAATCTAACTACCTATCTAATCTATATCTTAGAATGAGTAAAACTTTCTTTGTATGACCTAAAACCTAGAAGCCATAAAAAGAAGAAAGATAAATGTAACTATATAAAAATTTCAAATTTCTGTAAAGGAAAAAATTAAGTATCATAAATGAAGTCAAAACACAATGAAAAAATAACTACTGTTTCATTAAAATAGAAAAAGCCTCTAGAAAACTACTAAGAAAAAGACAAAACACTCAAAACAAAAACAATGGGCAAAGAACATGAAAAGGCAGTTCATGAAAAGGCAGTCAACCCCCTTGGGCTTTCCCTGGTGGTCCAGTGGTTAAGAATCTGCCTTCCAATGCAGGGGATGTGGGTTCGATCCCTGGTCGGGGAAATAAGATCCCACATGCCATGGGGCAACTAAGCCTGTGCTCTAGAGCCTGCAGGCCACCAACTACAGAACCCGCACGCTGCAACTACTGAGCCCACACGCTCTAGAGCCTGTGTGCCACAACTAGAGAGAAGTCCACACACCACAACGAAGAACCTGGTGCTGCAGCTAAGACCTGATGCCAAATAAATAAATATTAATAAATAAATGTAGGGACTTCCCTGGTGGTGCAGTGGTTAAGAATCCGCCTGCCAATGCAGGGGACATGGGTTCAAGCCCTGGTCCGGGAAGATCCCATATGCCGTGGAGCAACTAGGCCTGTGCACCACAACTACTGAAGCCCGTGCACCTAGAGCCCGTGCTCCGCAACAAAGAAAAGCCACCGCAATGAGAAGCCCAGGCACCGCAACGAAGAGTATTCCGCACTCGCCACAACTACAGAAAGCCCATGCGTAGCAGTGAAGACCCAATGCAGCCAAAAATAAAATAAATTAATTTTTTTTTTTAATTTATTTTATTGAAGAATAGTTGATTTACAGTGTTGTGTTTATTTTCTCCCGTTGCGGAGCACAGGCTCCGGACGTGCAGGCTCAGCGGCTGTGGCTCACGGGCACAGCAGCTCCACAGCATGTGGGATCTTCCCGGACCGGGGCACGAACCCGTGCTCCCTGCATCGGCAGGCGGACTCCCAACCACTGCGCCACCAGGGAAGCCCAATAAATTAATTTTTTTTTAAATGTAGTCATAAGAAGTTCAGTAGTACACTGTTGTGTGGGTGTAAGAAAATAGATCCCTGGAAACTTTGCTGATGGAAATATAAATTAGTACCACCTTTTGGAAAACCAATTTTGGAAAAAAATCAATCAAAAACCTAAATCAGATCATGTCACTCGGCTCAAACCCTTCAACGGCCCCATTTCAAACAGCTGAAAGCCCAAGTCCTTGCAATGGGCTGTCTGGACACCCCCTGCCTCTCCAACCTCATCCTCCATGACTGTCCCCAGCTTACTGTGCTTCCCCACATTGCCCCCTCCCTTTATTTCCCCCATGCACATCCTGCATGCTCTCACAGCACAGACTGGGCCCTAACCATCCATTCCCCTTACCTGAAACAATGGCTCCCTCTCCAATCTCCAGGTCCTTGTTCAAATGTCACCTACTGAGGCTTTCCCTGACTCACCTGTACTTAAAACTGCCGACACCTCACTCCCACCCTGGGATTCCCTATCCCCCCTTCCAGCCATACCACCACCTCACATTGTATCCATTTTATTTATTTGCTTGGTTTGTCCTCCTCTGCTAGAATGTGAAGGCCAAGATGGCCGAGATTGTTGTCCATTTTAGGTGCCACATCCCCAGCACATAAAGCAGTGTCTGACACAGAGTAGGGACTTGAACATCTGCTGAATAAAGAAACAGATGAATTGTATACATACTACGTTCTAAATCCTGTAAATAGTGGAGTACAAATTCAAACCCTCTCACTCCCTACCACAGAAGCGCCTGGGTCCTGAGCAGCAGTGGAACACGGATACACCATGTGGGCCAACTGTAAATTGAGCCCTTCACTATACAGGGTGCCTGAACCACAAGGAAGTTGCTTCAAACAACTTCAGCAATCTCCATTTCTCTTACTTTATAACAGACTAGCACCTTTCCCATCATAACCCACCAACCAGACACCCTCTTTTCTACAGGTCATCTCTCTAACAACATGGCCCAGTAAACATGCAGGTGGAAGGCAAATTACCCTTTGTTATGCACACTGCACAGTTATCCCACTATCCTTTCCTTCCGTAAAATAAAATCTCCACCTACCACGTCTCCAGTTTGACAACTTACCACAGTTACACAGTCCAGGAGAACACTAGCTATGAGCCAGGAGCTGGCTGTGTGCCCTCAGTCTCCTTGACTGTAAAAGAGATGGACTAGATGATCTTCACGGTTCCTTCTAACAGTAAAAAGCTCAGGTAGCTATGACTACTGATGGGAGCAAGCTGAAGTCCAGGATCACAGAATTCTTCAGGGGTACCCTCTACCTGTAGTAGCTTTGTTGCCAAAGCTCAATCCGCCTTAACCTCCAAAGCCTCTCATCCTTTTATAGCCCCTTGTGGCATACGAGAAGCAGTCTTAGGTTTCCTGGAATCGTCCTTTTTCTTATTTTCCCATAGCTCTCTTGGCTTAATTTCTGCTACTTCATTAGGATCTGGTCAGTTTTTGTTGTGCCTTGATATTCAGAGAGATTCTGGATTTGGGAGGTAGGGGAGTAGAAGCTTTTACTCCAAGTTGGGACTCAGGATACTTTGGGACCAGGAAGGTTTGTGGGAACCAGCACCTTCCAGCCCACTGGTTCATAATCTCATTTTCCTTCACATTATTTAAATGTACGACACACTAACATGAGTAGCATGTCTCATATGTATAGTGATTCTTGGATGGGCTTGGGGATTTGGTGGTGGTGGGAGGAGACAGAGGATGTCCACAAGTGGTTATAAAAAGCTCTCTGGGGCTTCCCTGGTGGCGCAGTGGTTGAGAGTCCGCCTGCCGATGCAGGGGACACGGGTTCGTACCCCGGTCCGGGAAGATCCCACATGCCGTGGAGCGGCTGGGCCCATGAGCCATGGCCGCTGAGCCTGTGCGTCGGGAGCCTGTGCTCTGCAACGGGAGAGGCCACAACAGTGAGAGGCCCGTGTACCGTAAAAAAAAAAAAAAAAAAAAAAAGCTCTCTGGAGATACATGGATATTTCCATTTTAATAAACTTCTTTGCTTTTAATGGCTGGCTGTACCCTACTGGTTGGCATTTAGGTTGTGTCCCTTTTATTGCTATTATAAACAGTCACAGTGACCATCCCTCCTCTCCCCAATACACTCAAACACACATCTATTCTATCCATATCTTTACATGGTTGTGCAAGTATCTCTGAAGGATAAATCTCTTGAAGTGGAAATGAAAGATGTGTTAAAATTTCTGAATTTCAGTTCTGTGAAAATAATATGTATAAAGAACCTGCGATATCTTGAAAGCAGTATTATACTGCAGCCTTACCCCCAGCAGCAATGCTCAGTGATAATCAAACAGGTTAAACAATGAATACAATTTCTTCATGTTCAACAATCTCTTGACCTTTCTCAAAGCCCATTGATCATGTTGCAAACCTTAATCCCAAGGACAGAGAATGAGGTATAATTTTTATTTATGAGGTACCGACAGTGTTTTCAAAATTATCCTGTTATTTATTATACAACAGGATGTTTTCTCTATTTGTTTTTCTTACTCTATATTTATCCTGAAACCCGAAATGACAGGAGCAAGGAAAATGATGTGAACAAAATGGGAGGGGGACTACAAGCTATTTAGAAATTACTACCATACACCAATGTCAGCTGAAATTAAATTGAAAAACCACAATGTTGAGAATCTAAAATCCCCAGAAAAAGTTCTTAGGATTGTTGCTGGATATATAACAAAGTGATTCCAAGAACTGA